AAGAAACTTTAAAATGTTCAGCATGGCCAGTGTAAATAACAAAGGAAGAGAGAAGAAAGACGAAGCTGTGGAGTGAACACACGCTAGAACCTGAAGACTCATGTTCTGTACTGAGGTATTAGACATCATTTTGAGCACAAAGGGGCATGACTCTTTATAGTTTTTTATTCAGTGGATGAATCTTCAGTGGTTTGCAGGTTATTTTGGGGCCCTCTAGCAAAGCCACTGCCTTCTCATTACGCCGCCCCAAGGATAATAGAGATCATCCCAAGCTTGCTGAATCCTACAAAAACCTTTGATGATTAGATCCATTCCAAGATGGAGACCAGAGGAGACTGACTCGTGGAAGATTCTTCTGCTTGGAATACCAGCATTTGAAGACTGTCTCCAAGCTTCTTTCCCCTCCTGTTGTCCAGGACTTGTGACAAATAAATATTCTCTATATCTTTACAAAAATAATGGTGAAAATGGCACTTTAAAATATGTAATACTGTGTGGAACAGTGTCATTGAAACAGCTCATCACATTTTAATGTTTCCAAAATGGGGAAGCTGAGGATCAGTTTTGGACGACTAAGCTTGATGAGAGGGGATTTTCCATTCAGCAGCCTCTTTTTACCAAGTGCCACAGGCACTTCATAAAATTACTCACCAGAGATGGGAGTGCTTTTCTACTTTATCTCAAGGGTGCACTTTATTTCACAAGAAGAAAATTCAATTCCTGTTTTACTAGTTTTGTAAGAGTTCTGTTTTAGTCAGGCTATGCTGCCATTTAAGAAAAAAAAAGCTCTCATATTTTTAATACACAGTTAAATTGTATTTATGCTTCATGGCACAGTCCAATGCAGGGAAGAGGAGAGGGAACCTCTGGTTGATGGTCATTCATGGATCCAGACTTCTCCCATGCAGAGGCTCTGCCACCATCTAGGATTCCTCCACTTTGTCCAAAATGAAAGGGGTGTACATCGCTTCTGCCCATTATCCATTACACAATCACGTGGTCCCCCAATTATCAAGAATGCTGGTAAATGCAATCCAACTGTGTGCTCGGGAGAAAGAGAATGTAAGTTTCCTCTTCCTCAATTTCCATGTGAAGACTTAAACTAACAGATGCCACATATTATATTTATATCAGTGATGTTTCTGGGACAGTTGTTTCAGTTCTCTTTACTCCCCAGATTTGTTTGTAGGCTATTATTTGGATATTGACTGGAGATTGTCATAATTTTTGCATTCATATCATTAACATTTTTAATATACTTGCTGTCTTAAGTCAATTTGAGATGTTATAGCAAAGTACCGTAGATTGGGTGGCTTATAAACAATAGAAATTTATTTCCCACAGCTCTGGAAGCTGGACGTTTCAGATGAGGGTGACAGCACAGTTGGCCTCTGGTGAGGGACCTCTTCCAAGCTGCAGACTGCTGTCTTTTCTTTGTATGTTTAGATGGTGGAAGCAAGGCGAGAGAACTCTCTGGGGTCACTTTTCCATTAGTGGGGACACTAATCTTATTCATAAGAGCTCCACTATCACAACCTAAATTACCTCCAAAGGCCCCAGCTCCCCATATCATTATATTGGGGGTTAGGATGTCAGCATATGAATTTGGAGGGGGACATGAACGTTCAGTCCTTTATATTTGCTTTCTCAAAAGCAGCTGTTGCCAGACAAGAAGATAAGTGGTATTTATAAAACCTATTTGAACATATCTCCTATGTCTATTTTATTTCCTCCCAGGGAATTTATTTCACTGAAGCATTTGAATTACACACTACTTTAATAGAACAATTATGTGACTCAAGAGACTCTCGTTAGATCCAAGCCATAAATTGAACTTGAAACTTTATAGTGGCCAAGATGAATAGTTAAGTGTTATTTTATTATATATACATCTTAATTACTTATCACTACATCATTGCCATAAAGTATTTGGGTCAGCTATGAAGAATGGAGGAAAGAATCAGTGAGTTAACAAGAGTTACTGAAAAACAACTAAAAATCTCCTTTCTACTTCTTCAGAAATTGTCGCAAAACTTAAACATAAAAATGCTGTATTTATGGATTATAACATTTGTGCAAAAGCACTGAAGGTGCTTAGCTCCTCAAGATTCCATCCAGGGGTTGGATGGGGTAGGGGCAAGTAGAGAGAATCTAGCTGAGATTCTGTGACAAAATTTTATGATACACCAGTGAACTGTTGTGATTCCAACCTAGACTTTTCCTTCTCTACCATTTTCTATGGCCAAATGCCGTTCTCCTGCATGTGATAACTTGTTAAGTCTCCGAAGATAGTCATTTTACCATGAAATTTGGTGTCACATCAAGTAACTCTTAAACTCATGTAACTAAAAGAACACCAATAACAAAAGCTAACATTTGACGAGTATACATTATGTAGCTAGTATTGTTCTAAGTGCTTTAGATGCATTAACCTGTGTGGATTATTACAACAGCCTTCCACAATAGATATTCTTGGCACAGAGTGGTTGCATAATTTACTTAAGTTCACATAGCTAGTGATTGATAGAGCCTACATTTGAGTTACTTTGTTACATGATTTTCTATGTTATAGTCTTTCTATCCACAGGAGAAATTTTCAACAGCTTTTAATCTTTATGATAGTCTACCAATTAGATTATGAATTCACATTTTTCCATTAGTTCATGGTATGTCAAATTGCCTTTTTAAAGCTTGTGTGGAAAAAGACAAATGCCTCATCATGTGTTATTCTGTTTATTTTTACTAAATATGCTGAAACATTAGGTATCATATGGTATATTTAAATTTGTAAAGTGTTCTATTGTGTCTGGATTTGCCTCCAACCTTTGTATTCTTGTGCCCTATTTTATGATTATATAAGCAATAGTCTAGTAGTCAGGAAACCACTCACATCTACTAATTCTCTGCTTAATATTGAATTGGTCCAACCTAAGACATAGTTCCACTCCCCAGAGTTTAAATTCAAGATGTGAAGCCTAGTTTAGGCTTCATGATAAAGGTTGAAGCCATGATAAAGCTTGATGTAATTGCAGTTTTGAGTTTCCATGTTTTTTTAAAAATAAAATGTTTTTCTCATCCTTAATTGGACAATTTTTTAATGTCTGAAAAAGAAAATCAAGGAAAAGTATTTAAAGATTCAGGTTACATATGAGAAAAAATAACCCCAGTCCTGAGCTGGGGCAGAAGGTTAAGAACTGATAGGATTAACCAGCTGTTGCTCCTGAGTTGGAAGGGTGGCCTTTGCAGGGTGCCTGATGGAACGTCCTGTAGATGGCGCTCCACCTGTGTGTTCACTTTCTCCTCCTGGACCCTTTGGTCCCATTTCTATCCCGAGGTAACTACGGGATTTAACATTTCCATTCACGACTGTTACTCCTGGAATATCAAAGGGGCGGGGTTGTCCCCTTAACTGCAACCTGCCACCCTGGGGAGGAATTGCGTTCCTAGATCCCAGTCTCCAAGTGCTGATTCCCTCTTTCCTTCCTTAATTCTCCCTCACTGATCTTTCCTTTTTCTTACGTTCTACAATTCCCTGTTGGTACTTTGCCTCTAAAGCGAAGAGTTCTGGAATTGGCTGCTTTTAGGCAAAATATACATTTCTATTGAGATTTTTCTGAGAATTCCTTAGGATTCCCCCATATAATTTCTATACTTCCAGTGTCTCTGGTTTTCATAGGATTTGGTCAATAACCCCATATAGGCTGGTCAGTCCACCAGGCTCCTAGGGCAAGCCCATCAGGTTGTTAAAGCACAGTCAGCAACAGCTGCAAATAATTAGCACTCACAACTTCTATAAAGAAATCTTCTGAAGGAGGGAATGGTTTGGTGGGTTGCCAATGGCGGGAAGCCTGGACTAGCGATTAGGTCACTCCATTAGTCTTTGATTCATAGGTTTGCTTCCTGTAAGAGGCTTTAAAAAATCAGAGTTGAGCCTAACTTTCCTTAATGCAATAAAGCAGAAAAGAGAGTCCAGGTGAAATTCTAGGGGCAGAGGGAGAGGGAGAGTGGCTCAAGTCAGAAGACAGAAATTGACTTATTACCCAAAAGTTGTTGTGCTTTGTTGACTAACTTCCCATCAGTGAGTCACTCTGGCCATCAGATGTTATTCCAGTTTATAACAGCACATCACTTATAAGAATCACCATCAAGGAAGAAAGAACTGGCTATAATCCATGATCAACAAAGAGCCATACTCATCTTTTTTCCCCTTTTAAACAACTTTCCTGTATTTTAAAAGTTTCACTTGTTGTTAGAATTGTCTTCTTTATATAATGCCTAAGTATTGTTTTGTTCAATGATAAAGCAACATATAAGCAAAAAACCAAACTGCTATCTCTCCCATCCTTAGATACCTCGACCCAGGATTCTAGAATTGCCTCATGAGACAGACAAAGAATCAGCCCAGCCAGGACTTGCACCTGACAGAGGCCCTGGAGAGATGGCAGGGATCTGCCCCACAGGCCTCCGTGTCAGTTTCCCAGTCAGAGATGTTCTGGCTAACATTTTGATCACCTCCGATTATTCCTTAACTTATTAGAGACTTTATACTTTCAGCCCATTCCCTCCTTGCAGTTGTCAGCCCCTGAAAGCAGCTCTGACAATATTCCTTTTTCTATATTTTATAGATTAGATGTAATGTCATTATTTAGTATCCTTAGCAGTAAAGGATCAGTCACCCATATGTCGTTTCTACTTTGCCCAGTGTCAATCATGATGCAATATGTATATATCAAAAATAATCTGCTTTTTAATTTCTACAACCACCATAACAAATCCATTGAAATCAAAGTCTTCTGTAAGTTTATAGGATTTACTAAAGATTATGTAAGGAACAGGGAAAGGAGTTGTATTTCACTCCACACAGCACATATCTTAATAAATCTCAACTGCTGTTTACCTAAATTCTCTCTTCAGCCTTATCATCATTCTATCCAAGATCCCTTCCTCCCTCTTTCCTCTTTTTTTCCAGCCCTCCACTCCCTCCCTCTGCTTCCTCCTACCTTTCTTTATTGTGCAGAATCTCTGGGTGCTGGCCAGCTTCTGTTTAGCTGAGAGCTTATTAAAATCTTGTTTCACTAAAATCAGTCTTTCTTCTGGAAGGCAAGATAAAGGCAAAATTAATTGTTGTTTTCAAAAAAATAATATTTGTCCAGATCATTACATTGCATAATACATAGTTTCTTAACTTTCCTGTGTGAAACTAATTTTTTAGATCCAGAAACAGAACCACAAAGTAGTTCAACTGATTTCCAAAAAAACCATAGACAATCCCAATTATAGTCTTACCAGCATCGATATAAATCACTCTGCTTTGTTTCCCCTCTGACATCCCTGCCTGCCTCCACCAGGTATAAGATAAATGGTTATGCGCAAGCTGTGTCATCTATTTACATCAGGACTTTTTTTTTTTTTTTAACCTCTCATTTATTTTATCTTTAAGCCTCCACATTCCTCTTCTGCAAGAAACATGGAAGAGATAAAGGGTGGTGGGAAGAAATTAGTATTTGGCTACTTGCCTCAACTTTGATCTTCTGTGTTCTTCTGCTAGCATTCATATCTGTAGCAATGTGCTTTAAGATTAAACAGACAAACAAACCAGAAAAAAGAACCAAAGTAGAGAGCAGTTCCCGTTTTCAGTGCTTTGGAGGACTGACCATAACTCTTCTGAGTTCTGAGAAGTCATTTGTCTCCCAGCACCGTTTCTTACTTCACTGGGTTTTGCAGCCTACATGGGTCACATCCATCAGTTCAGTCTCGTGCCTATTAATGATGCTGTCAGGAAGAAGCAGTATTTGTCTCTAAGCACCAACTTACTTCATTTTTTGGAGAAAAGAAAATTTTAATAATGCCTGTCATACTGATGAAAACCCTACAGTTTCATTAAGTTCAACCTGATATTTTATCAAACACTTAAGTGCCAAGTCTGCCGCTCGGGCTGGGAATACAACATATATGAGGCAAATTCCTTGACTTTGATGAATTTACAGTCTAAACTGCAAGATAATTTGTTGATATTTATCAAGAATTATAAAGATGTTCTCACTCGTACGAACTTATTTTAAAGGTAAAATTCAGTACAAGCTGCATGAAAAAAAGGAATTAATTGAAGCATTAGTCATTAGCAAAAACCTAGAAACAACTTGTATGGAGGTCAATAATAGAATGATAGTTAAGTAAAGATGGAAATACTATACTATCATTTAGAATAACTGTAAAGATAAAACAGAAAGATTGACCCTAATGATTTACACCACTGATATTTGCTAAATTCAATTTTACTATAAAGGCATTTTCATTTTTATACCCCATTTGTTAATATATCTTTTTCTTTTTGTGGTTAGAAAAATTTAGGACAGAACATAGATGCAAAAATCTTCAATAAAATATTAGCAAGCCGATTGCAACAGCAAATCAAAAAACTTATTCATCATGATCAAGTAGGATTCATCCCAGGGATGCAAAGCTGGTTCAACATACGCAAGTCTATCAACGTAATTCACCACATAAACAGAACCAAAAACAAAAACCACATGATTATCTCAATTGACGCAGAGAAGGCATTTGACAAAATTCAACAGCCCTTTATGCTAAAAACCCTCAATAAACTTGGTATCGATGGAACGTATCTCAAAGTAATAAAAGCTACTTATGACAAACCAACAGCCAATATCATACTGAATGGGCAAAAACTGGAAGCATTCCCTTTGAAATCCGGCACTAAACAAGGATGTCCTCTTTCACCACTCCTATTCAGTATAGTACTGGAAGTTCTAGCCAGAGCAATCAGGCAAGAAAAAGAAATAAAGGGTATTCAAATAGGAAAGGTGGAAGCCAAATTGTCTCTATTTGCAGACGACATGATAGTATACCTAGAAGACCCCATCGCCTCAGCCCAAAAACTCCTGAAACTGATAAGCAACTTCAGCAAAGTCTCAGGATATAAAATCAATGTGCAAAAATCACAAGCATTCGTCTACACCAATAACAGACTTAAAGAAAGCCAAATCAAGAACGAACTGCCATTCACAATTGCTACAAAAAGAATAAAATACCTTGGAATACAACTCACAAGGAACGTAAGGGACCTCTTCAAGGAGAACTACAAACCACTGCTCAACGAAATCAGAGAGGACACAAACAGATGGAGAAACCTTCCATGTTCATGGTTAGGAAGAATTAATATCGTGAAAATGGCTATACTGCCCAAAGTAATTTACAGAATCAATGCTATCCCCATCAAGCTACCATTGACTTTCTTCACAGAACTGGAAAAAACCACCTTGAACTTCATATAGAACCAAAAGAGAGCCCACATAGCCAAGTCAATTCTAAGTAAAAAGAACACAGCGGGGGGCATCACAGTACCAGATTTCAAACTATACTACAAGGCTACAGTAGTCAAAACAGCATGGTACTGGTACCAAAACAGAGATATAGACCAATGGAACAAAACAGAGGCACCGGAGGCAACACAACATATCTACAACTATACAATCTTTGATAAACCTGACAAAAACAAGCAATGGGGAAAGGATTCCCTGTTTAACAAATGGTGTTGGGAAAACTGGCAAGCCATGTGCAGAAAGCAGGAACTGGACCCCTTCCTGACACCTTACACTAAAATTAACTCCAGATGGATTAAAGACTTAAACATAAGACCTGGCACCATAAAAACCCTAGAAGGAAATCTAGGCAAAACTATCCAGGACATAGGAGTAGGCAAGGACTTCATGAACAAAACACCAAAAGCATTGGCAACAAAAGCCAAAATAGACAAATGGGACCTAATGAAACTCCACAGCTTCTGCACGGCAAAAGAAACAGTCACTAGAGTGGATCGGCAACCAACAGAATGGGAAAAAATTTTTGCAGTTTACCCATCTGACAAAGGGCTGATATCCAGAATTTACAAAGAACTCAAACGGATTTACAGGAAAAAAACAAACAAGCCCATTCCAAAGTGGGCAAAGGATATGAACAGACACTTTATGAAAGAAGACATATATGAGGCCAACAATCATATGAAAAAATGCTCATCGTCACTGGTCATCAGAGAGATGCAAATCAAAACCACATTGAGATACCATCTCACGCCAGTTAGAATGGCGATCATTAAAAAATCTGGAGACAACAGATGCTGGAGAGGATGTGGAGAAAAAGGAACACTTTTACACTGTTGGTGGGAGTGTAAATTAGTTCAACCATTGTGGAAGACAGTGTGGCGATTCCTCAAGGCCTTAGAAATAGAAATTCCATTTGACCCAGCAATCCCATTACTGGGTATATATCCAAAGGACTATAAATCGTTCTACTATAAGGACACATGTACACGAATGTTCATTGCAGCACTGTTTACAATAGCAAAGACCTGGAATCAACCCAAATGCCCATTGATAATAGACTGGATTGGAAAAATGTGGCACATATACACCATGGAATATTATGCAGCAATCAGAAATGATGAGTTTGTGTCGTTTGTAGGGACATGGATGAATCTGGAGAACATCATCCTCAGCAAACTGACACAAGAACAGAAAATGAAACACCACATATTCTCACTCATAGGCAGGTGATGAAAAATGAGAACACGTGGACACAGGGAGGGGAGTACTAAACACTGGGGTCTATTGGGGGGAAAAGGGGAGGGACAGTGGGAGGGGGAGGTGGGGAGGGATAGCCTGGGGAGAAATGCCAAATGTGGGTGAAGGGGAGAAAGGAAGCAAAACCTACGCAACTGTCTTGCATGTTCTGCTCATGTACCCCAAAACTTAAAATCCAATAAAAAATTAAAAAAAAAAAAAAAGAAAAATTTAGGACAAATATTCCCTAAGAAGTATAATATATAGGGTCAAGGAGTTTGTAGATATTGAGGCAAGGAGAGGTTATTTCTTTTCTTTTTTCTTTTTTTTTTTTTTTTTTTGAGACAGAGTCTCACTTTGTTGCCAGGCACCACCAGGCTGGAGTGCAGTGGCGAAATCTCGGCTCACTGCAACCTCCGCCTCCTAGGTTCAAGCAATTCTTCTGCCTCAGCCTCCCGAGTAGCTGGGACTACAGGCGCATGCCACCACACCCAGCTAATTTTTGTATTTTTAGTAGAGACAGGGTTTCACCATGTTGGCTAGGATGGTCTCGATCTCCTGACCTCGTGATCTGCCCACCTTGGACTCCCAAAGTGCTAGGATTAAAGGGTTATTTCTTTTAAGCAAATCAGAATTACACATCCATCACTGAACAAGGAGAGTCCGTAAGACACTATCAACAGGTTTAGGGGAACAGTTAAGTATAGGCTGCATGGATGTAAAAGTTTTCTTTGGGACACAGTTTAAATCTATGCAGCTAGAGTTCAGGCTATTTCTATGACTGCTTCCTCCAATCTCCAAAAATACAAAAAAGTACAAGTTACCCGTGTATTTTCTATATAGAATCCCCATTACGTTTAATAAAAGAGAAAAAGCTAAATGTACATTTTTATTACAAAAAATCCAGAAATATCTTATAATACAGAATTCAGTCAATGAAATTAAATTACAGTATCTTAACTACATGGAGTATTCTACAGTAATTAATATGACAATTATGAAGAAAACATAAACGTGTTGGCTAATTCAATAGGAAGTTGATAGTAAACAATAAAAAATATAAATTATTGATCTTGAATAAGTTTATGAAATTTTAATTGCATAAGGATAAATTTGATTGCATAGGGCCTAATTAATTGCCTAAGGACTAAATCTGGAAGAGAATAGGTAAGAATGTAAATAGTATGTTAGGACGGTAAAATTATAGGTGAGTGTTTTTCTTTCATCAAAGTATTTTTATAGTTAAATACAAAAGAAAATTAGAGGCTTAGAATTACTTGCCATATTCTGCTGAATTCATCATAATAACAGGCCATCTATGAAGGAGGAAGACACTTTTAAGGAGGAAGACGTCTTTTAAACTGAGAATAAATTTAAGTATCCAAAGCTTCTTTGGGTCCTTATCGTAATTTGGTGTTGGAACTTGCAATATAACATTAAAAGAAATCTACCGCAGAACTTTTAGAAAAATGTAGGCTGGGATCCTACTGCTGCCGTTTTTTACAGAAAAAGCT